TATTATTGTATTGAATTTTAAAAAAAAATTATACTCATAATATTAATTCAAAAGTAAATATAAAAATATATTAGTTGGGTTTATATGGAGAGTTATTATTGTTAAGAATTTTAACTGGAAGAAAGATATTTTTCATTATTATAAAATGATTTTTTAAAGAATCTTCGTAAAAAATGGAAACTAAAAAGTGAACTGCTAAACATCGCCCGCAAATCTCCACATAAAGCCCACAAATTAAAAGTGAAATGACTCTTTTGCCCTCGAACTAAAATTATATTCTCTCTACTCTAGTAAAAAACACACTCTCATCTTCTCTTAACTTTGTAGTCTCACTTTCTCTCTCGAAAATATTTTTTCAAAATGTCGAGGCGGCAAGGCAGGGAAGTGGCGGCACCGGTGGCCGGAGCAAGGGGGTTTGGAGGAGGAAAGGTATGTTTTTTTTTTGTTAATTTTTTTATTTAAAAAAAAAAAAAAAAAAACCGGAAAAGGTGGCGGCCCGGCGGCGACTGGTGGCTGGACGGCGGCGAATGGGCGGCGGCGTTTGGCCCAGACGCCGACACCACGGTTCCGGCGCCTGTCCCAGACGCCATTGCCACGGTGATGGCGCCTGGGCAGGGCGCCGGTACCACGGTGGCGGCGTCCACGTCAGACGCCAACACCGTGGCACCGGCGTCCTGCCCAGGCGCCACCACCGTGGCTCTGGCGTCTGGGACAGGCGCCGGAACCCTAATTTTTTTTTTTTTTCATTTTCTTTTATTTTTTTTTTGAATTATTTTTTCAAATTTTTTTTTTGCTTTTTTTTGTTTTTGTTTTTCCGTTTTATTTTTTAATTTTTTTTTTTACTTTGTTTTTTCCAATTTGTTTTTTTTGGGTAATTTTTTTTTTTGCTTTGTTTTTTCCAATTTTTTATTTATTTATTTATTAGGTTATTAATTTTTTTATTTTTAGGTTGTTAATATTTTGTAATGTTTTTAATTTATTTTCCATCATATGTATATTGTTTTATTTATTTATTTTAATTACTTTTTTTATGTTTATATTACATGTTTATATTGCATATTACATGTTTTGTTATTTTGTGTTAGGCATCGTATTTTCGTTCTGGGGCTGGGAAGAGTATGGACATTATGAGAAGTACGATCAACTCAATGGAGAGCTCGGGGCCCAGACACGTTAGATCCCGTGGTATTTCGGCCTCGGCTCGTAGAGAACGGGTGCACTATTCTGAGGATGATGAAGATGATGATGGTGATGAGGAGGAGGAGGAGGAGGATGCAGATGAGGATGTGGACGATCAGAGTGGACCATATGATGATTACGGTCCATTCAGTCAGAGGCTTGATGATGTGTATGAGACGCGTAGGGTAGACGTGCGTAAGGGTAGAGATGGTAGATTTGTTAGTAGATCTGGCACATCATCTGCGTCCACTGTGTCTGCGGTTAGCAGAAAACGGTCGAGGGCCGTTAATGATTCTTGGGTGGTGAGGGGCGAGGTGGCTGGGGGACCTATAGACGGGAGTGTGATTCCTAGCTTTCTAGGACACATCGCTACCCGTATTTGGGAGGACCAAGAGCGGGCTTTGGATAGCGGCATTTTGAAATGCCAAACCCGGGAGAGGACTTGTAACTTCTTGTGTAGTTGGGCTGAGGCTTGGCCGGAGGAGAGCGAGATGGTCGGCCGATTGAGGGGCACTAGAGTGAGCCACCTTCCTGCCACCATGCATGAGAGGATTGACTCGACGCTGATCACGGCTTTCGTTGAGCGATGGCAGCCGGACACGAACTCTTTCCACCTTCCGTTCGGTGAGATGACGATCATGTTGCATGACGTCGAGGACATCCTTGGGATTCCCGTAGAGGGAAACCGAGCATCTGTTGTCACAGATGCGGATCAGGCAGATTTATTGGCGGAGCTGTTGGCGGTGGATAGGGCTGCGCTGTACACAGCGGCACTTGGTGTGTGGGATCACGGCGGTGTTAAGATCGCAGCAGTTTTGCAGCGATGTTTGCACCCCACTTCACGTAGGACGCAGGACACATCAGAGACGTCCACCACGGCGACGACCACGACCACGACCACGAATGTACTCAAATGCACTCCTTTCCCGCCGTGGTTGTCGGCCCCGTGGTCGCTCGACCCCCTCAGGTTCCTCATGATCCAAGCACGACGAGTTGAACATGTCATGAAGTACGTGGGTAGCACTACGAATGATTGAAGGGTGGCTGGAGGACACTTGGTCAAACATCGAACGAAACTGCTCCAACTCCTCCTGTTCACGGTTGACTGTCTGTGGAACAACATGCTCTCCGATAACGAGCGTCCGCCAGAATGGATGAACCTGATCAACATGTAACGACGCCCTATCTTGCGTAATTACGCGGTGAATGGTGCATGCACAAGGTAGTCCATGAGTCACCGATATAGCACATCCGCACCGAATAGCCACTTCATCACCCAACTCCCTCATCCTGGTGTGCTCGCTCAGAATCAACCCCAAGCAGTAGTGTGACACACGACCATGGAGAATCTTAAATATGAAATGGCTATACATCGTGCCATGTCGCCGTCTGGAGTCCTCGAGAGAGTTCTTGATGCCGTTCCTCTGAGTATCAATAGCCTTGTTTATTCTCTCGAACAGTGTATCCAGAGCAGAGGTGGAAGAATCAATCCAGTCCTTCAGAGCTCTATGAGCGCTCTCAACTCTACATGTAGTAGTGTTTCCAAAATGAAGAACTTGGTTTGTCCAATATTTGACAAACTTTTCCCTCTGAGGCACCCACTGCTGCATCACATAGTCTACGATTGCCGGGCACCATTGGTATGCATCCTTGAAGTTATCCAAGGCTCGGTCGTACTCTGCCTCCGTGGTAGCTTGCAGGATCTTCCGCCACTTACCATTTACCAATCTCTCTGCTGAATCTAAGTTCTTGTTGAAAAGGTTGTAGGCTTTGACTTTCACGCAGTTGTTGATGTGCCATGTGCACAGTAAATGGCTCGACTCCGGAAACAGCTCCGCTATAGGGGCAAAGAGACCTCCCTCACAATCGCTGACGATGGCCGATGGCTGAACACTTGGGCCGATGTAATTTCTCAACTTCTCCAACACCCAACGGTAACTCGCAACCGTCTCATCCTTCATAACTGCATAACCAATCAAAAAGTTCTGGTTCGTTGGAGTCATCCCAACCATCTCAACCAGTGGAAACTTATACTTGTTTGTCTTGTACGTTGAATCGATCAGAATCACAGATGGCCAAGACGAAATCATATCAGCACAATCAGGATGCACAAGGAACAAATGAGTCACCTCCGATGTGTCTTCATCAGATTCAAACCAGTACAGGTAACCACGTGCTTGTGCCTGGTGTAGAAGCTGCTGTATAGGGTTCCTTCCCTCTGACCGTTCAAACCTCAATTTATGTCTGACGTTGTAGATGTGTCTTCGGTTTGGCTGGTCTTCAGGAAATTTCTCCAACACAGATGCTAATATTTTAGCAGGCTTCACTTGAGCATCACTCATTTCTTTTACAATTAGTTTCGCACCAGGACTTAGGCCACTTAACTGTCGATGACCCACTTCATATGCGATCATCTCATGGTTGTGATACCCCCATTTACCGTAACTCTTCACTTCCCAACCGTCACCCCTTTGCTGTTGTCGAACCTTTACTCTGAACTGACACCCACAACCTTTCCGCTTTGTATCAAACCGAATCGCTTGACTGAAATCTCGTTCCTCCCTTTTGCGATAACGGTCGCATCTCAAAATGCGATCCATTCTACCATCCCGTTGAGATTTATGAGTTGCTACTACTAAACAAAAACCTGATCTAATTGCAACATGTTTCGCCCAATCAACCGCTTGTTGAGCATCTTCGAACAGACCATCGTGTACAAAAATCCCACTATAATCATTTCCGTCTCCACCATAATCCTGCAACAATAACATATAAATATAATCACATAAGATTAGATTAAATTAATACATTTGACACAACATTAGCACAAAAGCAAAAACAATAATAAAATATAAACAACAAACAAAGAAATAAAAAACATAAACAAAAAGTATTCAAAAAAAAAAAAAAAAAACAAAACACAAAAATAAAAAACATAAACAAAACTTTAGATTAAATAAAAAAAAAAACCAAAAAAATAAAAACAAAAAAAAAAACATAAACATAAAAAACATAGCGATCAAAAACACAAAAATCAAACACAAAATTTTACATTACATTTTAAAACAATTAAAAACAAAACAAAAAAAAACCAAAAAAAAAAACGAAAAAAAATTGTAACACAAAAAAAAAAAAAAAAAAACAAATTTTAAATTAAATTAAAAAAAAAAAAAAAATGCAGTGGCGCCTAGCCAGGACGCCGCTACCGTGGCGGTGGCGTCTAGCCAGGACGCCGCCACCGTGGCGATGGCGCCTGGCCAGGACGCCGCTTTCATGGTGGCGGCGTCTTGGCCAGACGCCACGGCCACGGTGGCGGCGTCCTGGCCAGGCGCCATACCTACGGAGGCAGCGTCCTGGCTAGGCGCCACCACTACGGTCACGGCGTCCCGGCAGGACGCCAGCCGCCAATTCGTGGTTTTAGATGGCTTCGTACCTCCTTTTCCGGCGTCAACGGCGTCTCTCCGGTGCATCTAGCCGACGTTGAGGGCTCTTCGGTTTCACTCGGCGATCCAGTCCTGCTCCACATTTTTGGTGAGTGAAAATTTTCATTTTCGGTAAAAATTAAAACAAGGGCAATAATGTCAAAATTTTTAAAAAATGTGGGCTTTATGTAGAAAAACGCGGGCGATGTTTAACAAGTCCCTAAAAGTGAACTGGGCGGGAAAATTGTTAATGACATTGTGACAAGTGTCATTTTAGGTTCACTTTTAGTATATGTTAATTGATAAGGGATTTACAATTAGACTAATTGCTAATGAGTAAACAATTAAAATAAAACTAAATAAAGGATCCATCTAAATCCAAAATTAAATGTAATGGGATATGAGTTAACTTTTTTATGCATTTACAACTTTTAATTACTTGAAACTAAAAGATTTTTACAATAATTGAAGAAGACCAACTTTTAATTGATGGTACAAGCCTACAACTAGCACTTTTAGAAAGCGTAAGATTATGAAGTTGACCCATATCCATCAATTTTCCTTAATTGGATCCCTACCCGTTGGTTAGAATCCCCTTCATCATTATAAGCATAAGCGAATCCACCATGTCGGGTCAAATCCATACCATCCATTTCATCAACGGGCGATATTCGTAGAAGTTTGAGCTTATGAAGGACCAAAAAAAGAGGACCCATTGTGAAGCTAACCCACCCGATTATAGACAAGATTTGAACAACATGGGCTGCCAAAAGCCTACCACCCCCACCCATAAACAAACCATATGGTCGACCGGCTTTACCCGAGACCGGGTATACCTCGTCGACATACTTCTTGCTTGCAAAAAGGACCGTAAAAAGGACCCCCCACGCCCCACACCCGCCATGTAGTTGGGCTGCCTCCAACGGGTCATCATATTTGTATCGCTCTGCCAAATTATTTGAGCCCATTAGTACCCCTGCGGCCACAAAACCACAAATTATTGCAGCCCATGGCTCGACCACAGCACATCCAGATGTGATTGCCGCGAACCCACCCAATAAACCATTGCAAACATCAGTAATGTTCCAATGACCCGAAAGAATTCTACTACCAAATAATGTGGTTAGAGCGGCCGTGCAACCCGCTAATGTAGTAGTGACCGCGGTCCTTCCAACCGCGCTCCATTGACCATAGTATGCTTGTGACCCATCATAAGTCACAAGAATTTTAGTAAAGGAACCTGGGTTGAATCCATACCATCCAACCCAAAGTAGAAAAGTCCCTAAGACCACCAGTGAGGCACTATGACCCCTCAATGCAACAGAACGGCCCTCGTGGTCAAATCTTCCAATCCTACCAATAAATTAAATTAAATCAAGTCAAATTAACGAATAACGAATATAATATACTTTATTTGTTTTTTATACTTGCAACACTGTGTAAAAGTCAAACTGTTGTAAGTTTAAAAATCTGAGAAAGTATGTTTTAGTAATTATACAATATAAATTAATTGAGCCAAAAAAAACAAAAACTAATGTAGAGGCAACAAAAATAGTAGAAAAGATACCATTATTGCAATTTTACCAAAAACACTAGTATTAGTTTGCCAAGTATTTGAATTTATTTTCCTAATAATCCAATGCTCATTCTATAATCCCCAAATTCTTTTTGGTACTTGGTGAAATATTCTGACAATGCAGGACATATCTTCGAATAATTTCACCTAGAAATATACTTCCCATACTACAATGCTGATTGATGACAAAATTTATAAAGAATGTCAAATTGGTCAAAAGTTTAATAGTATGTGGTTTGTAATTGCTAGTAGAAAGTACGGCACGAATATGGTAACTAGCGTTTATTAAAAATGTTATATCCTCTAGTTTGCGTAAGTCACTGAATAAATAATAATTGACTCATATCATACCAAATGAGTAACACGTTTATCATACCAAATGAGTAACACGTTGTAATAATAACAAACAGATCAAAATGAAAATGATCTTGCTAACAAACGCCTTAGATAAACATTTAAATACTTTCTAAAATGGTATTAATTCGGGAAATTATGATAAAATTACGCGTTGATCGGTGTAATTAATATTTTAATTTTATTAAATATTTCATCTTTTAGTTATTTTATCCAATGCCCCCAGACGTTTGATAGTTTTTACCAAATGAAAATTATTACAATTACTCTGAAATTGGGGAAATATTAAAATTTTTGAGTGTCAAAGTATATGCGGAGCGTACTAGCTTGTTATTTACATTAAATATAAGTTAAAAATACCATTAAAAAACTTTTTGCACATTCCTAGTGAGATAAATAAAAAGAAACAAATTAAATGAATTATCTTTAAACAATCCAAAATCATAAAATTTGAATTTTAACTGTTAAATTGATAAATTTTATTACAATTATATACTTTCTTTGTTCTTGATTATAATGTTTAAACTATATATAGAGCCCACCTACGACATATTTTTAAAATTTTCATCATAGACGGTTCAAAATTTAATTCTTTTGTACAAAAGTTTGCATGTTTTATATATATATTTTAAAAAAAATAAAATAAATAAATAAATAAAAATAAAAATAGAAATCATATCCAAGGATCATTTTTTTTTTGGTGAAAATATCCAAGGATCATGGGTATATGATAATACTTCCTATGTTCTTAATGTGAAAAAACTTTTTTAAAATGACATTATACTTTCTCATGAAAGCTCCTAATAACTCTACTTTAAATTAACAACAAACAAGTACCAGACTTCTTTAATAAATATTTTACGTGCTAAAATGTTTCTCTACCATGCCAATTTAATTACTTGTTTGTTCACTTATATATCTAAATTTAACAACACTATCAACTCGACTGTTAAATCAGAACATAAAATTTATACATTACCTCGGACCTTCAATGAAGGCACCCCAAAATCCAGCAATTCCACCAACCATATGAACAACACCAGAGCCAGCAAAATCGATAACACCTGACCCAAACAACGGATGAGTGTTACCAGCACTCGCCCATCCGTCTTCTGACCAAAACCAATGCGAAACAACCGGGTAAACGAACCCGGTTAAGAACGACGAGTATATCAAATACGCCACGAACTGAGTCCTCTCAGCAATAGACCCACTAGTGATTCCGGCAGCAGCAATGGCAAACGACCATTGATACAGAAAATAAGGAAAATCAACGTCACTATTGGGAAAAGACTCGAGGGCGAAAAACCGGCGTCCGATGAAGGGGTTACTAGGTGAGCCGAAAGCTAAAGCGAATCCGAAGAGATAGTAGAAGAGAGCTCCAGCAGCCGCGTCAAGGACGTTGGTAAGCATGATGTTCATGGTGTTCTTAGCACGGACGGAGCCAGCGCAGAGCATGGCGAACCCGACTTGCATGGAGAAGACGAGGTAAGCGGAGAAGAGAAGGAAGGTGGAGTCTAAGGCGTAGGTTGTGGAGGCAAACTGTGTGGAGGTGGAGGTGATAACTTTAGCCTATGAAATAGATTAATGTACAATTAGATAGTGTTATTTGTTTTATTAAAACAAACAATTATGAACAAAAAAGTTAAATACATGTGATACATTAAAATAATTATACTCTCTTCATTCCTCGATAAAGACATAGTTAAACTTGACACGTATGCCAACGAACTGAAAAATATTTTAAAGAATGATATTATGAAAATTTATATTAATACATATTTAATAATATATTTTATGATAAAATTTATATAAATTTATTGTTATACATTAAGAAAATGATAGTTAAAGTTGGTATATGAATAGTGAATAAAACGTGTCAATTATTTAGGAAAATATAGAGTATACATTTTATGCAACATTTACTAGAAAGGATGCTTAAATATTACACGCAACAAATGTTTTTTTTTTTTATATATATATATTTTTATTTATTCATATGCATTTGTATCCTTCTTTCTCTATTTAACAATCAAAAACAAATTTTGCTCAAATTTTTGTGCAAATTCGGGCCTGTTCATATTTACGGAACTGAGCTGAACTGAACTGATTGGAGCTGAACTGAACTGAACTGAGCTGAAATGAATATTTTATGAGAGAGGGAAATTAAGAGCTGAACTGAACTGAACTGATTGGAGCTGAACTGAACTGAAATTAAGTAAATATGAACAGGCTCAAACGTTTGTTGCAAATACTAGTAATATAAAACAAAGCTAGTAAGTGAAAGTTCTCAAAAAAAAAAAAAAAAAGCTAATAAGTGAAATAAATGAGGTAACTCTTGATATACTTCGTATATAGCATACCACATAAAAGTGAGGGAAGTTTTGATGAACAGAAAAAATGATTCAATTGGAGCTTGTTTTAAAAGGCCAAAAGGGTACTGAGTGACTAGTAAGTACCTTCATATACTGTACAATATATCACTAGGTGAAAAAATGATTCAAAACCGGTGCCATAGGGTGTAATAGGCACCGGTTAACCGGTGCCATAGGGTGAAATAGGCACCGGTTAACCGGTGCCTAAAACTGCTCTCCCGCCATTTTTTTTGGTGGTAGATAGTTTAGGCACCGGTTGCTGCCTAACCGGTGCCTATTAACCAATTTTATTTTATTTTTTTCGTTTTTTTTCCATCGTGCAATAATATTTAAAAAAAAAACCTGCAATAATAATAACCTGTAATTCCAGCAATTATATTAAATATAATAATTAATAATTTTATTATTATAATAACTAATAATAATAATATTATTAATTATTACAATAAGCTAGATACAAAAATAATATTAGAAACAAGAATTCAATTATATATATAGATATAAATATTCCCAAACGCAATGCAAAAAAAAAAAAGTTGCTTACATATACAAATAATAGTAAGTACATATATAATGAATAATAAGTTATATAGTTCAAAAGTTAACATAAATAATTTACAATTACAATGCCATTTACATGTTGAAGGTGATAAAAGACGCCAACATGTCACGAACTTCATTAAGCTCCTTGATTGTCAACGGACCATCATTTTGGACCTTGCAAAACTTGAAATACAAAAACATTATTTTAAAAATAATTAATTAGGCAAACAATAGTATTTTATCAAATATTACCTATATGACTTCTATATAGCCCATTTACTACATTACTTATCAAATGAACTATTTCTTTCTCATAACATGTCAATATTGGATAGTTGTATGTGTGTAAGCCCTAAAATTGTATAGGAGAGCATTTTATTAAGGTTTATGACGCTTTTTACTCAAAATGGCCCGAATATGGCCTATATGACCTTACTTTGCCCATTTCCTACATTTCTTATTAAATGAACTTTATTTATCTCATAACATGTCAATATTATGTAGTTATAGGTGTATAAGGAAAGAAATCACATCAAAAGAGCATATTAACACAAAATGGCCCTAATATGGCCCATATGACTTCTATTCAGCCCATTTTCTACCTTTCTTGTGAAATAGCCTTTTTGTTTCTCATAACATGTCATTGTTGGATAATATTAGGTGTCTAAGGCTAGAAATCACATCAATATAGCATTTCAAGAAGTTTAACAACGCATTTTACTCAACATGGCCCAAATAGGGTTTATATGACTTCTATGTAGCCCATTTTCTACATTACTTATCAAATGAACTATTTCTTTCTCATAACATGTCAATGTTGGGTAGTTGTATTTGTGTAAGCCCTAAAATTGTATAGGAGAGCATTTTATTAAGGTTTATGACGCTTTTTACTCAAAATGGCCCGAATATGGCCTATATGACCTTACTTTGCCCATTTCCTACATTTCTTATTAAATGAACTTTATTTATCTTATAACATGTCAATATTATGTAGTTATAGGTGTATAAGGAAAGAAATCACATCAAAAGAGCATATTAACACAAAATGGCCGTAATATGGCCCATATGACTTCTATTCAGCCCATTTTCTACCTTTCTTGTGAAATAGCCTTTTTGTTTCTCATAACATATCATTGTTGGATAATATTAGGTGTCTAAGGCTAGAAATCACATCAATATAGCATTTCAAGAAGTTTAACAACGCATTTTACTCAACATGGCCCAAATAGGGTTTATATGACTTCTATGTAGCCCATTTTCTACATTACTTATCAAATGAACTATTTCTTTCTGATAACATGTCAATGTTGGGTAGTTGTATTTGTGTAAGCCCTAAAATTGTATAGGAGAGCATTTTATTAAGGTTTATGACGCTTTTTACTCAAAATGGCCCGAATATGGCCTATATGACCTTACTTTGCCCATTTCCTACATTTCTTATTTAATGAACTTTATTTATCTCATAACATGTCAATATTATCTAGTTATAGGTTTATAAGGAAAGAAATCACATCAAAAGAGCATATTAACACAAAATGGCCCTAATATGGCCCATATGACTTCTATTCAGCCCATTTTCTACCTTTCTTGTGAAATAGCCTTTTTGTTTCTCATAACATGTCATTGTTGGATAATATTAGGTGTCTAAGGCTAGAAACCACATCAATATAGCATTTCAAGAAGTTTAACAACGCATTTTACTCAACATGGCCCAAATAGGGCTTATATGACTTCTATGTAGCCCATTTTCTATATTACTTATCAAATGAACTATTTCTTTCTCATAACATGTCAATGTTTGGTATTTGTATGTGTGTAAGCCCTAAAATTGTATAGGAGAGCATTTTATTAAGGTTTATGACGCTTTTTACTCAAAATGGCCCGAATATGGCCTATATGACCTTACTTTGCCCATTTCCTACATTTCTTATTAAATGAACTTTATTTATCTCATAACATGTCAATATTATCTAGTTATATGTGTATAAGGAAAGAAATCACATCAAAAGAGCATATTAACACAAAATGGCCCTAACATGGCCCATATGACTTCTATTAAGCCCATTTTCTACCTTTCTTGTGAAATAGCTTTTTTGTTTCTCATAACATGCCATTGTTGGGTAATATTAGGTGTCTAAGGCGTGAAATCACATCAATATAGCATTTCAAGAAGTTTTAGGACTTACCTCATCAAGCTGTTGAGTGTCCGTACAATGAGTCACAATGTCAAGCATGAATCTCATCACATACAAAGCACAATCAAGTCCATTCTCTTGTTGTGCGCACTAGCATATGACAAACAAATCACATCAGTGAAACATGCAAAGGAAATGAGCAAATATTTACTACCATAGATTTTCAAGATAATCACAATATCATGTAAATTACCAACGGTGTCTTCCATGTTGGACCTTTTGGAGCACGACAATGTAGCTTCTTCATAACACTTTAGTATAAAAAAGTACATTCAAATTTTATTAGTCGTATGATTACTAAATTAGTTATTATTAGCAATAATCATCACTAGGTTGCTATATATATTTACTTTTGCAATATAGACTTCACGAGCCACTTCTCCGATGATCGAGCTGAATCAAGGTGATAAATTGTGTTAGTGGAATTACAAATCACCATGAGGCTCCAATGCTCCCTACATAAGTTCACAATAGACAAGGTAATTAATATTTAGGACTCAACATATAATGAGGCCAAATCGATTGAATTTGACATGGTTAGACTTACTCTCTATAACATGGGGCGAATATGAACTTGTCTCCCGCACGCGCTGATTCCCTTATACTCTGTTCAACATAGTACAACACGTCATGGGGGTTGCCTATGATTTTAGTAGTGGATAATTGCTCGGGGCATAACCACCCAACTTTACAAGGAGAATCAGTGTCAGTTAAGTGCTCCTGTAGTGCTCTGCGTGCATGAACATTGAATAATTTATCAGATGTAGGATAATCACCATCAATTTGAATAACTTGAAAAAAGTATAGATTATGTGGGCATTGAAGTACCTCATGAATGTTTGAATGAGGGAAATGTTAAGCTTTGCACCACGTAGAAATTACTTCACATCTTCTTTGCTGATTCATGAAATTGCATCCTCATCATAGTGGAACATTGCCTTAGGAAGTGCAACTTCCATGGGATCGACCAAATGACAAGCACGGTTGTGAAGAAAGGTCATGTCAGTAGAGAGCGATTGAAGAACAATGTCTTCAACAAGTGGAGTAGGTGGCATGGGTGAACCTTTCGAAGAGTGCAACTTCGACGCTTGTTCACTCTTGGACCGTTGTTCACTTAGCTTCTTCTTAGGTTGATCAATTCTTTTAGGCTTCTCCACCCTCTTTCTCTTTGAAGTTTTGCTTCCATTGGAAATCTGAAATAGTTGAGAAATGAATAAAATAGGCAAGTGAGTAGCCATTTCGGCTCAAAATGGCTTTATTTTGATGAATTGGACCCAAAAACTTAGAACTTGGCGATTTTTATGTAATTTCAAATGACAAACACTTATAAATATGTGATTATGAGTTGTTTTGAGATGCAAGGAGTTTATAAGTTGAGAAATGAAGAAAATAGGCAAGTAAGTAAATAATTTACCTCCTTATTAATCAACTTCACCCATGCACGTGGCCAATCAACGAAGCTATCTACAACTTGCCAAAGCATTGTTATCTCAACCTCCTCTATCGGTACGGGTAGTGGGATGTCTTCGAACCCCGCAACCACTGAATCGATCCCAACCGAGTAATGATGTGGCCCCGCCGTAGCACCCGTCGTCGGTTGGGCACTACCATACGCCACCAAACTCAACGCGGTACTATTTGCATGCCCCGGGGCTAGAAGTGCACACCGGGTGTCTTCCTACACAAGTATATATATAAAAAGAAGATAGTTAAATAGGACTTTTACAACAGCATAGATATAACAAACCGGTTCATTAAGGTAGAGGGTTACAAATCACCTGTAACTCTGGAAATTCATGCGGTGTTGGATTTTCAAGCTCCCTCGAGTCCGCATGTGTAGGAGTAGGAACCTGCAACAGTACATCAATCATTGCACCTCAAATCTCAATTAACTCGGTATTTTAAAACTTTTAATAACCCAATTGATTTTACCTCAGGTGGCACATCTTCACCACGTATCTCATCTCCTCCATGTCTATCACCTTCTCCTTGTCCTTTTGGTTCAGAACATGAGTCGACCGGGGTACTAGTGAGGAACGGCAAAGCCGGTAAGTTCATCAGATTCGCCCAAGCATTCAATTCACCAACTAACTCGTTGCGTACTTGTTCCTTAATTGATGCCACCTTGGCATCCAACTCCCCCGGTGAGTTAACACTGGCTTGAGATCTACCCGATTTTGTGTATTCGGGACCCATCACCTTATTCCATCCAAGCAATGACCCTCCTGAACCTACTACTCGTCCTGGATGGTATGGCCTTCCCAAAGCCATGGTGAAAGGGTCATTCTCCACACTTGGTTCAAATTTGCCCTCCACCATCTCTTGAGTGTGCTCAAGCTATAGCATAAGGAAAAATGAGGTCAGTAAAACAGTTAATGGTTTGTAGAGTGATTAGATGCAAAAGTGACTTAATTTCAACAATTCATAGGTAACTTACAAGCTTATCCGCCAGTTTTTTGGCTTCCGGACCCTTGATGAACCATTTTCCGATTTTCTTATCAAACGAACGGAGAGAACAAAAGAAATCACAGGCACAACTCACCAATGTAGTGATCGTGGAACTAGAGGGTTCCTTCGATGCCACTAGAAGCGCTTTAGGGTATAAACCCGAAGCGGCCCACTCAGGTCTCTTTTCAGCAAAAGTCTTAGGACCCATACGATGGACGTATTCCTTCTTTTCTGCATTCGCTTGATTTTGCTCTCGAAGTTCCTACAAAACAAAAAATGTTAGTCTCATTAATACAAAAAGTGTCAAGCTATTATTCAATTGAGATCAGATTTACACAAACTTACAATGGCTTTCTTTTGACTCTTCATTCTAACGAACTCTTCCCAATCATCTTTTGACATGGTCGGCCATATTTGCCACGGGAGACGGTCATCCTCTTTGGCATTCTTCTTCTTTGTTTGCACCTTCTTCTTCTTGTGGATCCACCGATTAGTTAACTTGGTCTTAAAGCCTCTGAATCTTTCCGCTAATAAAGAGACAAACACCCTTTTCTTCTCGGGATCATTAGGAATAGAAAACTGCCTCTGCAAGCACAAATTAAAACCGATTATTAGTTTCTATTTAGTAACAACCATAAGGTTAAGGTATCTTAAATTGTCTAAATGTGCCAAAAACACACTTACCCTTGTATCATCCCAAAATGCTTGAATCAAACCCGGAGGTACTTGCCGCATTACAAGTGTAATGGGGATTTTCCGCGAACATATGCCAACTTGATTAGCATATTGTCGACGCCATTTGGGCCCGGGTTGGCCTTTGTTGTCATACTCCAAGACCATGGGACCGTCCGGTTTCTTAAAGCTTCTCGTCGGACCCCTTCTTTTTCTTTCAGCCGGTGCCTTTTCCCCCCCTCCACCACCTGTGTTGTTTTCATCTTGTCCTTGGCCTTGACTTCCAGGAGTCGGGTTCTCACCAACAATCTCACGTGTTGTATTTACAATGGCTAGTGCACGTTCAGCTAACATTTCAAAATCGTCAAGCCTACGCTCGAACTCATCTTGAGCCTGATCCTCTGGCTCACCCAAGTCATCCTCCTTATTCACATCATAAGGCACATCACTATCATCGGAGTCGTCATCCTCGTACTCGTCCTCATACTCATCATCGTCAATGTCCTCTACCAAAGGAGGATCATGATCGTCCGCCATGAGATATAAGCACCTGTCAAAGCAATCATAAAACAATATTAGTGTATGGTAAAGTATATGCATGATAGTTATTATGGTTAAGTAGAAGCTATTTTAGCCATTTTCACCTACTTATTATGGTCCTATAACCTTGTATATGCATGATAATGAGTACAAAATTCCAATTTCAATCTACATATGGAAAATAGGTTGTTAGAATGAATAAATGTTAGTTCATACACAAAACAAAGGAGTTGGGTTAAGTAGAAGCTATTTATGCCAGTTTCACCTACTTATGGTCCTATAACCTTGTATATGCATGATAATGAGTACACTTAGGCAATTTCAAACTACAAATATATATTATTTTTGCCTAATTATGCTCCTGTATACATGATAACTAAACTATATTTGCAATGAAACCATATATTACTAACTTTTAATCAAACTACCTCATTCTGAAATTCCTTCGTTGTGGTCTGGTCGCATATAACCTGCTTCGTTGTCTATGTCATTTAATACAACAGGTCTAGGAACAGTGAATGGTGCTGAATCATCAAACGCATCATATTCTTCCTCATCCTCAACATCTCCAATGCCTAGAATTCTTCTTTTGCCAGCTAGCACTATAGACCATTTTGAATCCATTGGGTCAGTTACGTAGAACACTTGCTTAGCTTGAGATGCAAGGATAAATGGTTCCGCACTATCATTCAAGTGGCCAAGATCTACAAGAGTAAAGTCCTCATGTTTGACGTTACGCCTGATATTATCAACCCACTTACACTTTAAAAGAGCAACCGTGAAGTCACAATAATCAAGCTCCCATATTTCTTGAATTCGACCATAGTATGACAACTCTGCATCGACAGGTGATTTATCCTTAGAACTTGCAAACTCCCTTGACGATGCCACAAGAGTTACACCACTGTTTTGGGTGGAGGAAGATTTCAAATCACGAGCCTCGGTCCAAAAAGTGTACCCATTGATGTCATATCCCTCAAATGAACGGACATCATCCCGAGGACCGTACGCAAGCCACCGTACTGTATCGGTCACATTAGTATCATTCAATCCACTCATTACTCGTTCACGAAACCAATCAACAAATTTCTTATTATGCAACTGCATAAGTGCCCTTTCACCTTTGGATGGAAATTCGGCACGCAAACAAGCCATGTGCTCGTCTAAATATGGGTGCACATCTGAAACATGGTGCAACACATAAAGGTGTGCTTGTAAGAACTGATCTCGGTCTGGTGACATTCGTTTCGACCCAATTGTGCCATGACCATCAAGTCTACCTTCATGTCGAGAAGTAGGAAGACCAATAGGTTGAGCAAGGGCTATGTAGTCCGCCACAAAGTTACCTATCTCCTCACCCACTGTCCCTTGCATTATACTTCCTTTAGGGTGAGCACGGTTCCGTACTTTATCTTGTAATGTACCCATGTGTCTTTCAAAAGGGTAGCACCACCTCATGAACACTGGACCGCACAACTTAATCTCACGCACCAAATGAAGAACCAGATGAACCATTATTTCAACAAATGAGGGTGGGAAATACATCTCAAATTTGCATAAAGTCACAACCACATCTGCTTGCAAAGCATCTAGTGTACAAGGATCAAGAACTTTGCTACAAATTGTATTGAAAAACGAACAAAGGCTTGTAATCGCTTCTCGCACGTGTTTCGGTAGAATACCACGGATTGCAATCGGTAGGAATACTTGCATCATAATGTGACAATCATGGGATTTCATACTTGTCAGCTTCAATTCTCCATTTAAGGTTACAAATATTTTCATGTTAGATGAGTACCCTGATGGAACCTTAATGTCGTACAAACATGCACAAAACATACGTTTCTCTACCCTTGGCAATGTATAGCAAGCCGAGGGTAAATAATTCTTTTCATCCTTCCTTTTACCCTTAACTTTCTTCTTTGGCGCATCTTTGGCCTTTCCCTTTCCCTTGCTCTTCTCCTTCCCTTTTTTCGAAACACTTTCATCTTCTATTCTCGGCTCCTTCCCCTTTCTAACCTCTTCTTGAGGCCACAATTATGGACGAATCCCCATCTCTTTCAAATCTAACCGTGCACTCTTTTCGTCCTTTGTTTTGCCTGGGATATTCATAAGCGTCCCCAAAAGAGCATCACACACATTCTTCTCTATATGCATCACATCAAGACAATGCCTAACGTCATGTTCTCTCTAGTACGGCAGCTTCCAAAAGATTGATTCTTTCTTAAACAGAGCAGCTGAGACCACAGTTTTTTCTGATTTTCCAAACACCGTTCGTATCCCTTTCACCCGAGCACTAATCTCAGCACCAGTCAATGGTCTAGGCGCAGTATCCTCTTCCACGGTTCCATTGAATTCCTTTTTCTGCCTACGGTACGGGTGATCACGCCTAAGGAACCTTCGAGTCCGTAGGTAGACATCTTTGTGAGAATGAGTCAGGTATACGCTTGATGTGTCATCAATACATATGGGGCATGCTTTTTTCCCTTTGACCTTGTACCCACACAAGTTGTCATATGCAGGGAAGTCATTCATGGTCCACATAAGGGCTGCACGCAATGTGAACATCTCGTTCTGATGAGCATCGAAAACGGAAACCCCTTCGTCCCACATCTTTCTCAAGTCGTCAATAAGCGGCGCAAGGTAAACATCTATGTCGTTTCTAGGTTGCTTAGGACCAGTTATTAGCAATGAAAGCATTACATACTTACGTTTCATGCACAGCCAAGGAGGCAAATTATAAATCACTAAAAGTACCGGCCATGTGCTGTGTTGGGTACTAAGAGTGCCAAATGGATTCATCCCGTCCGTGCACAACCCAAGCCTTAAATTTCTGACTTCATTACCAAATTCCTCAAACTTCAAATCAATGTTCTTCCACTGTGGAGAGTCAGCTGGATGCTTTAGCATTCTGTTTTTCTTTCTTCCCTCTGCATGCCACCTCAAGTTTTTAGCGTCTTTTGGTATTGAGAACAGACGCTTAAACCTTGGAATAATGGGAAGATACCACAACACCTTAGCAGGAGGTCCCTCCATGCCAGGATTGCAACTCATGCGCTTGTACCGCGACCGCTTGCATCGTGGACACTCCTGCAGTTTTTCATACTCATTTCGATATAAAATACAGTTATTAGGACATGCATGTATCTTCTTATACTCCAAACCAAAGGGACACATGAGCTTCTTTGCGTAATAATAAGACTTAGGAATTTCATTCCCATCAGGCAACATATCACTTAATGCGGTCAACAAAGAAGTAAAATTGATGTCCGTCCACCCATGCTTCGACTTAATGTTGAAAAGTGTTAGCACGGCCGATAGTTTGGAGTATTTTTTGCACCCGGGATACAAAGGCTTTTTGGAAGCCTCCGATAATAATTCTAACACTTCACCTTCAACACCTTGCAACATCTCATCCACTTGTTCATCCTCGACCTCATCCGCCTGATCTTCATCGGCTCCATCCTCACCATTATCAACAATATACTCATCATTCTCGTATTCCTCGTCCACATGAATCTCAGTGCTTCTAACACGCACATCATTCCGATCAAGATCCCCACTGTACTCTCCACTTTCTCCGTGCCAAATCCACACATGGTATAATTGCCTAAATCCACGACATAATACATGATCTCTAATGATTTCAACACTGTCGACCACATTCACACAATTACAATCAACACAAGGACAATAAAGGCCTTTGCCTCCTAGTTTGCGTTGATAAGCTAAAGCCCTCTCGCAAAACTCTTGAACCCCATTCCAAAATTCCAATGTATCGCGTCTACCATACATCCAACCACGATCCTTCTCCATTTAGTAA